TAAGATCAAAATGCCTATATTTTGAAGCGTTAATTGTTTGTTAACTAACTGTTTTCATTTATTGAGGGGTCTTTTTGTCCAAATAAAACGTTGAGGCCAAATACTTCAAATATATATATATGGGCAAAAATGATATTTTGATAAATGTTAGAGGCTAATTTTAAAATTATGCCAAAGGCAAACGCCTCGACAAAATATGACCCAAAGATGAACACATTCCTTTTAATTATTAATTTCATGGTATGTTCCTAAACTAAGGCTTAAATTTTGAATTAGCCTCTAAACCATTAAACGGTTTATTGAGTCTTCAAAATATTAATATTTGTATTATATCAATTATATCGTTGTAGATATCAATTTTAATATTAAATTTTAGCTCAAATGTGCTATAGAGTATATGTAAAACACATGAATCAAAATCTTAACAAGTTTACTTCAATTTGTTGAGAAGAATAGTTTATTTTTTAAACAAGAGATATTTAAGTTATTTGTAGTATAGATACACATTTTTAAAAACATCGAACATAATTAACCATTCTCACTAATTTTCATGTACAAATGATTGAAATAGAAAACGTCACACCTCATTGACTTAGTAAGGCAACAATGTTGTTGGGGAGTCCGATCATGGAGATTCTCCACGATAACCATAAAGTTGGAGTAACAGTAGAGGAAACATCTTCATCATTGAGGATACATACTGCTTTTGCAATTGAAGATTCTTTCAACGCCACAGAGTTACCAAATTCGGTTCTAAACATCGGGTATTTATCAACTCCTCTATCATCGTTCTAAATAAGCTTCGAAGATCCTACATGCGTAAGATCTATGAAATTTTAGTGACCATAGAAAAATAGTATATAGCGGCTTAAAGATTTATAGATTATTACCTTCAAGTACGAGATCGGCCATGGAAGGGTATGGAGCAATAGAAGTTCCTTTCAGGTCATCATCGAGTTTCGACGGCGAGACCGGACCGATAGCCTCCCAACGATAATTTGATCCATCGTCAGAGCAAAGACGCCATGCAGACATTCCTACGATAATTTCTCTTACTCAAGGCAATACCTGCTCCTTTTTTTTCCAATACGTTAGCTTTCTGGGTTTTCCCCATTTTCAGAATACCCACAAAAATGAAAATGAAAAATATCATTAATTTAAGAGGGATCAAACCGTGCAATTGTGTTATAGTTCGTCGATCAGATGATCGATTTGGTCGTCGAGACATTCAAAAGACGACGTCGCTTGGAATCATGCTCAGCCTGTTGTTGTACCAGAGAATAAGGTTTGAGGGAAGAAGATTTGAAATGATTTTAGGGTTCAGGTAGGAGAAAAGGAGGACCATATATTTAACATTTTGTGGCGTTTTTAAGAAAAACGCCACTATATCACATACTTTTGCGGCGTTTATAAAAAACGCCACTATTGATTAATACTATTGTGGCGTTTGTCTAAAAACGACGCGAAAGTATTAATTATTGCGGCTTTTGAGGTATAAACGCCGCTAACTTACCGCTATATTGTGGCATTTGGCCTAAAACGCCATAAAATTTCTTCTCTATTGCGACGTTTTTTGTTAAAATGCCACTATATGTCCAATATATTATAGCGTTTATACATAAAACGCCACTAGATACAATAATATTGCGGCGTTTATCAAAAAACGCCGTACCATTAATATTCAATAGCGGCGTTTGTACAAAAACGTCGCTAAATGACTACTCTTTTACGGCGTTTGTTGATAAAACGCCACAATAAATAACTCTATACCAGCGTTTTTTCCAAAAACGCCGCTAAATTACTACTATATTGCGGCATTTTTTGAAGAAACGCCGCTATATTATCATTAGGCGGCGTTTGGATTATAAACGCCGCTATATTTCAATATCTTGTGGCGTTTACTCTCCAAATGCCGCTAAAAACGCCGTTACAGAACACTTTTGCTGTAGTGTATGACAAAGACTACTTTGATCCTATATGAATAACTGTTGTGTGATAACAAGTTTTGAATTCATAAGCATATACATTTATCAGGAAACATACGTTGTCCAAGTGGGAGATTGTTGGATTAAAATCTAGGCACATATTTATAATGTATATTATTATCATAAAATATGATATAAATTAAGAGACAAATTATTTTATAAAGTTATAAGGTATTGAAAGTATCAAGGAAATAAAAGTGTGGATACTATTAAAGTTGTATTTATAATTCGATGAGAGGCAGAATTATAAGTACAAACAATAATTGATTCTTAAATTAGTTATATAAATGGATTATGGTCCCTAAAAAATAGACAATCTCGTATTTACTCTTATCCCTCGTTAGAAAGTTTATACTTAAAGGAACTCTATCTTCTTGGAAGATCACAACCAAATAAATACTTAAAGATTTCAACATATCAATTAATCCAGGTACGCTTCCGCATTCTAATATTTTTTTATTCTCGATGATTTAATCCTGGTTGATTTTATATTTATTATGGTTTGGTTCTAACAATTTATCTTCTTTTTTTTTAAATTTTTTTAAAAAAATATAACTCTTTAAAAAGCACATTTTGTCCTTCGTCTCTTTTACGTGAACTCAAAAACGTCTCTTGAAGACACTTTTGTTTAAAGGCGAACGCAATTCAAGAATTAATCTGAAATTGATGTTAATAAAGAAATAATTTGGAGTGATATTTTGTTTAAAATCGCGACCTAAATTATTTCTCATTCAATCTAAAAAATAATGCTTGCAACTATTTGATTATAATTCTCTTCTATAATATTTCCAGCAATAATAATTTTATTTTCTCTATTCAAGATTTTTTTTTCATTGAAGACTCTGCATGTAAGCCACGTGTCCTTTCCTCTATTTTTCCAATTTTTCATTATTACCTTTATGCGTCTATTATATACACGCAAGATTTTATCTTACGTGACGAATTTATAAAATTTTTAAGAGTGATAAAATTATAAAATTTTAGGAGACTAAAATAGATTATTAATTAAAAATATAAAGAAAATATCTAAATTGTAGGAGAATTTAAATTTTTTAAGAGAACAATTGCCCCCACCCGTCCCTATTCGATCTATCATTGATCATATATATAATAAAGCATCATCGTAATCATTGGTTAAAGGCGGTGTACTCCTTTAAAATCTTGAATTCGAATAATTACGTCTACAAAATATATGTTATCAATTATTAAAAAAATCTTAAATAAATGCTACCTTATAATTATCTTTTTGCTATTAAAAAAACAAAGCTTTTGTGAGTTCACACCTTAACCCGGCATTGGGAAGTGATAAAAGAAGAATTTGAGGAAACCGGATTTGTGTATGATGTGTACTTAGCATAACATAGTTAATGTTGTTAATCTCATTTTCATATTGTGTTTTAAGTTTTCAAACATGAATTCTTGTCAAACGAAAAGTTTTCAAACATTTCTCACTTCAGGATAAATCTTGAAATTACACCTTAATCTATTAACTGCGATATAATAAAAATCTAATCTTAAAATATCAAACGACTATTATATCTTAGTCAATTGATTAACGTTCAATTCAAACTGTCGTTAATTTTTAACTTGAAATAATAAATTTGGAATATATAAATAGTTAAATTGTCATTTTATAAATTTTAATAGTTGAGGTATTCAGTAAAGTAATGTCCTATAATTAAGGGATTATTTCATAACTTTTAATAGTTGAGGGATTCAACAAAGCAACACTTTATAATCGATGGACTATTTGTACACTTTACCCTATATTTAAAGAGTATATAAAAAATTCCAGTAAAATAATTGGCTTATTATCCACGTCAAGTTCTTCTTCGTTATCATCAATTACTATTCAATACAAAGATATTCATCATACGTTCGATTAGTTCACTCTTGTACTTTTAACGATTTTTAATTTTAGACTATTTTTAAAATTATTTTAAATATTCTATGGAATTTTGGGTTTTTTTTTAAAAAATATTTAATCACAATTACATACGCGTTTGAGGGGAAAGTTGATATGAATATATTTACTCATTTAAAAAAAAAAGTATATAGATTAAATTATTTTAAAAAAATCTAATTCGTTTAATTTATAAATGATAAAGTATACCATAGGTCATTGAATTATTTCAAATTGGTTTCTCTATCAATAAACTTTAAAAGATTACAAAACGATCATTAAACTTTTCAAATGATTATAAAATGACCATTGAAATTTATCAAAACGTTAGAAGATTATCATTAAGTTTATAGAACTATTATAAAATAATCCTTATACTTATCACAATTTATTACCATTTATAAAATCACATGGATAATTTTGTAACATTTGATAGTTTGTTGACCGAAAAGATCATTTAATATAATTCAGTGACCTTTAGTTTACTTTATCCTTTACAAATTGATAGGGAGCTAAAGGATATTTAAACTCTATATTTTAATTCAACTAATAAAAAATTAATATTTTAGGCTGAAATATTTGTTTTTCCAAACATACATGATCAAAATGTCCCTTTTAATAGCGTAGGACTAAAATAAATTTTTTGATATAGTAAAAGGACTCTTAGTAGATTTTAACCCTTACCAAACTAATGTGTACAAGTAGAAGTTTAGTGTGAACGTATGAATGTGGGGATGCTCTTATTTTCATGACCAATTTATGAGCATAATTATTGAGGGGCAGCTGATTTCATGGCCCACCTGCTCTCCATTGATACAAATCAAGTCTTGGGTTTGTTTTTTTTTCCTAACTTAACTGAAATTTCAAAGTTCAAACAAAGAACTTTGAGCCAAAGTCTTCCATGAAAACAACACTTGAACCCGACAAAACAACGCGTCTTTAGACAGAGCAGTGATTACACTGAAAGAATAGTCTACAGAAAACAATAATAATCGACAAAGAACACAGCTTTATGCCTTCCTTATTCTCCTCTCTGCAATTTTTCAGAGCCAATATTAGCCTCATGGCTTCATGATCCTAAGTTGTATGGATATCTGTCGTTGTTGTTACCGATGAGAAGAACTTCACTCCTTTCAGCCCTTTTGTTGAACTCCTTCACAGCAGTTTTCTTTATCTTCTTCACTGCAGTTTCCGTTTCCGGTCAATGTCAAAGCCACCAGCAACGGTTGCTGCTCGGGTTGAAGAACACCCTCGATTTTTCATTATCTGTAAAGTCGAAGAATTGGATTCAAGGCACGGATTGTTGTTCTTGGGGTGGTATAACCTGCGATGGAAGTGGTCGGGTTATCGTACTTGAGTTGAGTAACCAGTCGATTTCTGGAGAAAGTGATGGTTTGGATTATCTTTTCAAACTCCAGCATCTTCAATGGTTGAATTTGGCTTATAACAGGTTGAACTTCAGTTTTCCTTCTGGGTTTCACCAGTTTTTGAACTTGAGCTATCTTAATCTGTCGAATGCTGGGTTCAAAGGGCAAATAACAGCTGAGATTTCAGGCTTGACAAGCTTGGTTGCTCTCGACTTATCTGTAAATTCATTTCTTATGCTACAGCCCTTGAAACTTGACAACCCGAACTTGAAGATGCTTGTTCAAAACCTCACAAAGCTAAGATCTTTGCATCTTGATGGGGTAAAAATTTCAGCAAGGGGGAATGAATGGTGCAAGGGTTTATCCCAATTGACCAATCTGGAAGTGTTGAGCTTGTCGAATTGTAAACTCTCTGGACCGATTGATGAATCCCTTGAAAACTTGAAGAATCTCTCTGTTCTTCACTTGGATAATAACAACTTATCTGCTGTGGTTCCAAACTTCCTTGCTCGGCTTTCGAATTTGACTTCTTTGCGGCTCAGTTCTTGTAGTTTGCATGGATCATTTCCAAGAGAGATACTCCAGGTAAGGACGCTGCAGTCTCTTTATTTACCTGACAATGAGAGACTTCATGGTTCTTTGCCTGAATTTCACCATGATGGTTCTCTTAGGAACCTAGTGCTTAGCAGAACAAGCTTTTCTGGGTTGTTACCAGGGTCCATGGACAAACTTGTGAACCTGACAACACTAGACCTTTCATATTGCAATTTCAGTGGAGCATTTCCGAGTTCAATCTCCCATCTCCACCAACTTGTTCACTTGGACCTGTCGTTCAATAACTTCACTGGTGGAATCCCACGTTTTGATTTGTCCAAAAATCTTGCCTATTTTGATCTCTCTCATAATAAACTGAGTGGCAAGATTGAGTCATTCAAGTGGGAAGGTCTGCAGAACCTTACTCATATTGTTTTAAGTCACAATTCATTTCGTGGGAGCATTCCTTCCTCCCTTGTGGCACTCCCTTTGATGAAGAAGGTTCAGCTTTCGAACAATCTATTTAGTGGTGGTTTTCCTGGTGTTCCTAAAGGAAGACAATCTTTATTGGATACTCTTGATCTCGGTTACAATCAATTGCAAGGGCGTATACCTGCATCTGTTTTCGAACTCAGTACGCTTAATGTTCTGTTGCTTTCTACCAATAAGTTCAATGGAACTATATGGATAGGAAGCATTCAGAAGCTTGTGAATCTCACGCAACTTGACCTTTCACACAACAACTTGTTTGTCGATGCAACAGGGAGTTATTCGACGATATCTCCCAAGATTGCTAGATTAAACCTTGCTTCCTGCAAACTAAAAGTGTTTCCCGATCTAAAGAACCAATCGAGATTAGTCTTTCTGGATCTCTCAGAAAACCAAATTTCAGGTGAGGTACCCAATTGGATTTGGAATGTCAATGATAACCTCCAGCATTTGAACCTTTCACATAATCAGCTTGTGGGTCTGCAGAAACCTTACCAAATGCCAAATCTTTCAATCCTTGACCTGCATTCGAACAAGCTCAGCGGTAATGTTCCAATTCTGCCTACATTTGCAAGCTATCTGGACTATTCAAATAATAGTTTTGCTTCTTCTTTACCAAAAAACATCGGTAAATATCTTGCCTACACCGTGTTCTTTTCTCTCTCGAGCAATGGCCTAACAGGTGTGATTCCTAAATCTATATGTGATGCTATTTACCTGCAAGTTCTTGACTTGTCCAACAACAATCTTAGCGGTGAAATACCAAAATGTTTATTTGGAAGGAAACTGAATCTTGGGGTACTGAATCTTGGGGGCAACAATCTCAGTGGCAACATTCCTGATGCATTTCCAAGTAATTGTTCCATAGAAACACTAGATGTCAATGGTAATATGCTCCGAGGGAAGATTCCGAAATCCCTTCCTAAGTGCAAAAGGCTTGAGGTGTTGAACCTAGGTAACAATCACATCAATGACATCTTCCCTTGCCATTTGAAAAGCGTAGCCAGTTTGAGGATTCTTGTTTTACGATCGAATGAATTCCATGGGGAAATTGGTTGTCCGGCCAACAAGTACCCCTGGCCAAAGCTTCAGATTGTGGACATTGCAAGCAATAGTTTTAATGGAACACTACCAAGTAAATGCTTCAAAACATGGGAGGCAATGACAGCTGATGACGATGAAGCTCGATTAAATGGTGGACATCTTCAGTTTAGGGTTCTAAAACTCAGTGGACTTTATTATCAGAATGGTATTACAGTTATCAACAAAGGTCTACCTATGGAGTACGTAAAGATCCTAACTGTCTTCACCTCCATTGATCTTTCGTGCAACAAATTCGAAGGGCCAATACCGAACGTGATTGGAGAATTCAAAGCACTGTATGTTCTCAACTTGTCACACAATGCTCTCACCGGGAAAATCCCACCAGCTCTCGGTAATCTGAAACAGCTGGAATCCTTGGACCTCTCAAGTAATAACCTGGATGGCAGTATTCCTCAACAGCTGGTGAACCTGAATTTCCTTGCAGTGCTTAACCTCTCATACAATCAACTGCAGGGAAGTATCCCAGCTGAAAAGCAATTTTCAACTTTCAGTAATGATTCTTATGTAGGTAATAAGGGACTATGCGGGAACCCATTGACGAAAAAGTGCAACGAAGCTAACCACGGCCAAGTTTCAAGACCTGATGCAGCAGAAAAAACTCGGAACGATGAATTCAATTGGCAGTTCATATTCATTGGAGTAGGAGTTGGAGTAGGAGCAGCTGTATTTGTTGCACCCTTAATGTTTTGGAAGACAGCAAGCAAATGGATCGATGACAATGTCGATAACTTCCTGGCCGAAATGCTTCCGAAGATGGGGCTAATTTACATGCCGCCGCATTATGCCAAGGTTGAGGCAGACGAAAATCTTGAAGATGACGAGAAAGAACATGATGACGAAGACAACGATGAAGAAGCTGAAGAATTTCGAGGGAGATATTGTGTATTTTGCTCCAAGCTTGACAACACCAGGAAGAAGGCAGTTCATGAACTAAGTTGTGTCTGCCATGGTTCACCATCTTTATCTCCTTCTTATTCCACATCTTCTACCTTTTCTCCGAAGTAGAACCTTCATTTCTTTTTTGTATATAAATACACAGAACCAATCATCCAAGGAATGAAAAATGTCACTTCGGATCCTCAGTAAGTGATTGAATCAAACTTTTCCTTCTCAATATATACCAATCTCAGGCAACACAGGCTCAATTATGCACGCTAATTTAACTTTCTTCTCGAGCAAATACAAAATAGGATTAAAAACAGTCGTTTTCGTTCAGGAATTTTCGTACACGATGGAACTAATTATGAATTTTATGCGCAACAGAGATCATAATTTTCAGAACTTATTTAAAACTTGAATCACTCTGTTTCTGAATACTTACCTTAGGCCATTCCCGCCTGAAAAACGTTTCATCTGTTTTCTGGATAATGATCTGCCGGCGTTGGGTTTCATACTTGCTTGAGTTGATAATTGGTGATGGAGGCAATGCTTTCGGCCTTTTGCTTCGAAGCCCATTAAATATAATGTTTAGTAATTGACCCATTTTCGTTAAAGCCCATCTGTTTGGCACGTGGGCTAAAACATGTGTTCAGTGAAACATATTTTTTTAGGATAAACTATAAGTTTAGTATTCCAACTATCACTTTGATTCTGTTTTGATCACTTTGTTATTTATTTCTTCAAAATCATAGTTAACGTTTAATTTGATTTCATTTTGATCATTGACCGTTAAAAAATTAGTTGTAATATTAACGTGTCACTACAAGTTAATGTTACGTCATTATTGAACAAATATAAAATGGCATATCGTCATTAAAAGCATAAATTGTATTGTTGGTAACGCGAAATACACTATCCCACATTGAGTGGGAAATACCACTGGCTTGGGTATTTACATTGTGCGTTCTTCCCTCCCTTGTTGAGTGATAGAGAACAAAGGGCAATCTCGTGTATCGCCGCTGTCACTGTCCATCTTGGCTCGGCTCGTGCTCGTGGTCTTGGTCATGGTCGAGCTCGTGGCTCGTGGTTCGGATTCTATCTTTTTAGATAAAATTTGTAAGGATTTTTCTCAAGCATAAAATATTGTGAAATAATTGTTGTTCTGGTATTTATAGGCTGATTTATTAGTTGTATTGATTTCTGAAATTTAAAATTTAAACAGTTACGAGAGTTACGGAAGTAACTACAGGAGTTACAAATGTTTGAGAATTATATAATGTATTTGGACGTATTGAGGGCCATATTCACTTGTTTAATTCAGCAAATTCATGTGATTAAAGGCAGCAGTTACACAAAGTTAATTTCGGGAAATAAAATCATACTTTAATATGATTTTTGTTGGACGTGTTTACCCTTTCATGCAACCTATAAATAGAGAAGTATTGCTAGCTTTTCAACTCACCAATTTACTCAAACATTTCTCAACTCTCTCAAAGCTTTCTAAACTTCTAAATATTTTCGGTGATCAGAGGAGCAAAACCATCGCAGTCCACTCCGGTTTCGGGTGTACAAAATTTCAGAGCGACCATGTTAACCTCGGGGATAATCTGCCTGAATTAGTGATTACACACATCGGGGCGAATTTGTTTCTAAGATAGTGGTTTACACCACAACACAGTTTCGGTTATTCATTTGCTAATGTGTGAATTTTGCAGTACACATTTCCAACAATTTAGAAACAAATTTAATTACTGCAAAATGTCGACTCCACTGAGCAAGCTGATCACTGATTTGTCCAAACTCAATGCTCTCTACGGCTCCAATTATCAAAGGTGGTCCCAGTGAATTCTGATTTTGATTTTCTTCTGGCAGCTTGATCTTGATTACGTGTTGCTGAAACTACCACCACCTACTCCATGGGCTACTCCAACTGCTACTGCTGCTATGGGTGATGACACCTGGCCTAATGTCATTGTCGCTTTTGTCGCTACTACTGATGTCGTCACTATTGTCAAGAAGTACGATAAAGATAACAAGACGGTGCAAGGCCACTCCTAAGCCACATGTCGAATAAGCTCTTCGACATGTTCTTCAAAGAAAAAGTGCCAAGGTCATATGGGATAAGCTCAAGAAAAATTATGATGTTGAAGATGCGGCATAAAAAAGTACATCGTTGGCGAGTGGCTGAGGTTCCAGATGATTGATGATAAGTTAAATATAGACCAGGTCCACGATTACGAGAATCTGTCCTCCGACATTCTTGCTGAAGGAATGCAAATATGGGAGGTGTTGCAAGCCAATATCCTGATCGATAAGCTGCCCAAGTCCTAGCCCGATTACCGTAATTCTCTCAAACATAAAAATTGGGACATTTTCATTGACGAGCTGGTGGGCCACATGAAAATAGAGGAGGCTAACCAGTTAAAGGATAAGGTTACTAACTCTATCGATAATTTATCCTTTTCATTGAGGAAAAGAGGAATCATAACAAGAAGATCAAACCATAAAAGGGCACCAACTTCAAAAAGCCAGGAAAGCCTAAAGCTGAAGACAAGTCCATCAAGTGTTATGTGTGCGGTTAAGCGGCCACAAAGCTTACCAGTGCCAACACCGTTTCAACCACCATAATGAGAACAAACCACAACTACACATTACGGATAAAAACACTGATGTCATCGTAGCAATAGTTTCATATGTGAATCTGGTGGAGAATAATATTTAGTGGGTCGTTGACACTAGTTCTTCCAAATATATATGCACAACAAGGGAGTTTTTGAGATTGAGGATGGGGAAAAAGATGAATGTGTGTATATGGGGAACTCCAACAGTTATGAAGTGTTGGGCAAAGGCAAGGTTTTACTTAAGCTGACTTCTGGTAAAACTTTAGCCCTGAATAATGTCTTGTATGTACCTGCCATGCGTATAAATTTAATAAGTGGCGGACTTTTAAATAAGGCATTCATTAAGTTAGTTTTTGAGACAGATAAACTTGTATTTTCCCAAAATGGTGATTATGTCGGGAAAGGTTTTTTAAATATGGGTTTATTTGTTATAGAAACTCAACTTAATGAAAATAAAGCCACTACTTATGCTTACATTGTTGAATCTGTTGATATGTGGCATGCTATATTAGAACATGTGAATATTCAATCTTTAAAGAAACTGATAAAAATGAATGTTTTGTCTAAACTAGACTTAACTAGCTTTAACAAATGTGAAATTTGTGTAGAAGCCAAGCATGTTAAGCCTCACTTTAAGACTGTTTCTAAAAGAAAGACTGAACTATTAGAACTTATACATACTGATCTAGCAGACTTTAGAAACACCAAAAGTAGATGAGAAAAACACTATTACATCACTTTTGTGGATGATTACTCGAGATACACAAAAGTATATCTCCCTAGAACTAAAGATGAAGCTGAAAACTTCTTTTTTATTTATATGGGAAAGTTGAGAATCAGTTAGATTAGAGAATTAAACGGGTTAGATCCAATAGAGGTGGTGAATATGAATTAAATTTCTTAAAAAAGTGTGTGAGAAGAACAATTCACGAAACTTTCGCTCCCTATTTTTCTCAACATAACGGTATAGCCGACAGGAAAAATATAACTTTAAAAGAGATGATGAACTCATTGTTGATAATTTTGGGTTATCTGACAACATGTGAGATGAAGCCATACTATCAGTAAATCATATTTTGAATCGAGTATCTCATTATAAATTATATTCTAGCCCATATGAAGTGTGGAAATGATACCCTCCAAATCTATAATACCTGAAAGTGTAGGGGTATCTGGCTAAAGTGGGCTTGCCATACTTTAAGAACTCCACCATTGGAACTAAAACCATTGATGTAGTGTTTATAGGGTATGCTACAAACACTGTCGCATACATGTCATGTACTTATAAGACTACTCTATTTGTGAATCTAGGGATGCCATTTTCTTTGAAGATTCTTTTTCGTTAAAGAAACCTAGATTAAATGAGGAAACACAAATAGAAAAGTTACAATTCACTTATTCTAGTGAACCTGCTAGGTCTTCTCCAGAAATTGAATTTGAACCTAGAATAAGTAAAAAAACATAACTGAAACATCGTTTGGACCAGACTTTATTACTTTCTTTATTTATGAGATAAATAATTTAGACACTCTTTCCGATCCTATAGCTCAAATTTTTCTTTTAGATGGGGATCCTAAGACATATAAAAAAGTTATATGATCTATTGATGCTAGTCTTTAGAAAAGCGCTATCAATGATGAACTAGAATCAATAATGTCTAATCATACTTGGGAATTTATGGACTTACCTAGAGGGTTTAGAACTATCAGTAACAAATGGTTGTTCCGAAAGAAACTCAGACCATATGGTTTTATCAAGAGGTATAAGGTAAGGCTAGTCGTCAAAGGGATCGCTAAAACATTTGGCCTAGACTTCTTTGATACCTACTCTCCTGTAACGAAAATCTCAACGATCTATACATTGTTTGCACTAGCCTCCATTTACAAGTTGCAAGTACATCAAATGGATGTAAAGACTGCATTTATGAATGGATATCTAGATAAGGAGATCTATACGGAGTAACCCCTTGGTTTTGAGGTGCCATGTATGGAATGCAAATTATGTATACTTAAAAGTCATTTTACGTCCGCAAACAAGCTCCTAAATAATGGCACGAGAAATTTTATAAAATTATCCTTAGTTTTAGTTTTGTTGTGAATAGTTCAGATGTATGCGTGTATTCGAGGATGTTTGGTGTTGATTGTGTCATCATAAGCTTACATGTTGATAACATGTTGATTTTCAATACTAACATTGAGTCTATTAACAAAACAAAAGATTTCTTGTATACTAAATTTGAGATGCATGATTTGGGAGAAGTCGATGTAATCTTAGGAGTCAAAGTTACCAAAACAGAAAATGGATTTTCTTTAAATCAAACATACCATATTGAGAAAGTGTTAAAGAAATTGGACAATTTTGATGGCATCCTTGTTCAAACTCCTTATGACCCTAGCATATATTTATTTAAAAGTAAAGGAAGTAGCGTTTCCCAAACAGAATATGCTAAGATAATTGGGAGCCTGATGTTTTTAATGAACTACACTCAATATGATATTACCTATGTTGTGAGCAGACTTAGTAGATATGCTCATAACCTAGGTAGCGAACATTGGGTCGCTCTTCGTCACTTACTTAAGTACCTAAAGGGTGCGATGGATTGGAGACTTGAGTTAGTTGGCTATCCTGCGATGTTAGAAGGATATTGTCACGCGTAAAGCCAATTGAGTTTTTGATAATGATGAGGTAAGCTCGACGAGTGGGTATGTTTTTACTTTAGGTGGAGCAACGATCTCGTGAAAATCATCGAAGTAAACATGTATTGCTCGTTCCACTATAGAGTTAGAGTTTGTAGCTCTTGAATTAGTTGGGCAAGAAGCTGAGTGGCTAAAAAATTTACTAGCTGAAATTTCATTGTGGGGAAGACCAACTCCTCCAGTTTTCTTACTGTGTGATTCATAAACTGTGATTAGTGTGGCTAAAAACCAACCTTACAATGGTAAGAAAAGGCACATTCGTATAAAGCAAGAATCTATTAGACACTTGATAAGGAATTGAGTACTCTATTTAGAGTATGTAAAGTCAGAAAAAAAACCTAGCAGATCCGCTTACCAAAGGGTTAAGCCAAAAAATGGTCCTAAATTCGTCGAGGGGGATGGGTTTAAATAGGCCTGTAATCGAACCGAACGTTCAACGGACCACTATTGAACTGTTCGACAGGAAGTTCGTTTATGTTCGTTTATTTATTAAACGAACGAACATGAATAATATTTTGTGTTCGTTTAATTAAATGAACGAACATGGACAGAGGGCTCGTTTGTTCATTTACGTTCATGAAAGTTCGATAATACATTCATTCGTTTATGTTCATTTATGTGTGTTCATTTCTGTTTAGCTCAATCTCTTTAGGCCCATTTAAAATATTAAAGCCCAATAAATTTTAATCCGATACCCATATATATTTTAAAATTCAATTAACTTTAAATATAAATAAAAAAACTTAAAACAATTAAATAAAATATAATCCTAAAATTGTTAGGAAATAAAAAAAACTATTTTCATTTATGTTCGTTTACATTCATTTATGTTCATTTATTGTGTTCGTTTACGTTCTTTCATTTGTGTTCGTTTACATTCGTTTATTGTGTTTGTTTATGTTCATTTACATCCGTTCATTTATTTTGTTCACTTGTGTCCATTTATCATTTAAATGAACGAACATAAACGAACACGAACAAGTTATATTCCTTAACGAACGAACATGAACATACCCTCGTTCGTGTTCGTTCGGTTCCTTTACAGGCCTAGGTTTAAAGCTCATTGGTTGAGGAATTCATGGTGGATACCCAACTTATTTATCTAAGTTCAATGTGGTCAAACGAAACCATGGAAATACTTATGGTGTACATACCTATCCCTATGACGAACAATGTACACGCCCATGTTAAGCTTAATTGCTCTTAATAAATTCATACTCTAGGCTTTGGGTGGGCTTAGTGAGAAAAACTTGATGAATTTATCGACTTTGGCTGAATATCTATTCTTAATAAGTTCATAACCCAGAGTTGAGTTCGTAGTCCTAATTGAGAAGGACAAAATGAACATACCGCTAGAAAAGGTTGAGTTTTATGAAAACTCTTAATAAATTCAAATCCAAAAGTTTGGATGAACCTATTGAGAATGACATATCAAATTCACCAATTAATAAGATTGAATATTTATTCTTAATGATTTTTATCCCAAAGTTTGGGCGGTTCGTTTTATAATAAACTTGAAGAAAATCACCATAATCTATTGTGAGGTTGAGCTTTTGTAAAGGCTCTTAATTATTTCATAGCCCAGTTTAAGGGTGGTTTATATTGAGATAAACCTTATGAAATAACTTATGTGAGTGAGAAGGATTAGCCACCTTTTATGAAAAATGTTAGGCCGTTTTTCTAGTACACTTACTAAAATCCGGAGGTAAGATGAACAAATATAAAATCGTGTATATATATA